GATATTGCGTAACCGGGACCATTAAATATGTCATTTTGCTTCTCCTTACCAAAGGATTAGATGGACCTTGCTCTTCTAAGCTTTGGCGTTTATCTTTGGGAAAACAATGCATACGCAACACATGTTGCGCTAGGTCGGTGCTAGAAAATGTCGGATAAAAGGGTCTAGGACAGCCTTAGCCAGCGCTGTTTAATTTTAGTTGCATATCTTTTATAGACCTCTGATATTTTTAAAATCTTCCACCACTTCAACTTTTAATTTGATTTCTAATCAATGATAATTGATATCATACTTCTTGATAATTAACAGTATGATATAATAAGTTCTATGTAGAAATTAAAAGGATAAACATCCTTCCTGCTTTTTTTCAGTATACAATCAAATTTAATTTACAAATGGCTGGTTATGCTATATAACTGATGATTAAAATATAGTTATGATAAAAATATAGTTATTTTAATAAAATGTTATTGCAAAATAGACAATTCCATTTATATTATTAATTAATTATTGATTTATTATTAAATTATTAATTTTATGATGCATGAAGATACATATAGATAGTTAAATCATAGATAATTGTTTTTCCAAATGATATTTCATATTGTTGAAAAAAATTGAAAACAAACAAAACTATTCAAGTGAATTTGTGCTTGACGATCTCTTTTTTGGACTTACAATTTATTTTGTACAGAATTTTTATTGTACGATAACAAATGTTTTGTGAAGAATTCAATTTGATGAGAAATTTCAATTGATAAGAAAAATGATTGCAAATTGATTAAATTGTATTATATAAACTGAATATTTAGCATTTTGAGAAAAATACTATAAATCTATTTTAAAAGTACTATATATCGGTTGCTACATTTACTGAAAAATCTATGATAAATGATATAATAATGATATAACTGATAATATATAAAACTTATAGAGCGTTATTAGAATATAATATTAATATAATCAAATGTATGATATAGAATAAATAGACATTATATAGAAACTAAGGTGCTTGTCCTATGTTTATAAATAGTTATGTACATATGCATGCAAATTTAATAATAAAATAGTAAGATATAAGATAGTTTGAAGAACTTAATAAAATTTGAATATTTCAAAAATATAAAATAAATTTATAATATTAAAAAATAATTTCACAAACTTTAAAATAATTAAAATTAATAAAAAATTTAATTTTATCTTTTTCATATCTGTGTTTAATATTATATAATATATAAAAATATTTATAAAATCAAATGAAAAATTATTTATAATCATTAATTATTAGTATTAAACAATATTGTGCAAGTTGGAAAACTGATATTAATTATTTTCATAAACGTTATAATTCAATTAATATGAAATATCAATTCATACAAAAACATAGGAATAAGATAAATTGATCAGGAAATTTCAAATTAAACGATAAATTCTAGAAATTTATGTAAATTAATCTCTAAAGATACATATTTCGACTTCTAAAATATATCATTCTAGAAAAAATTACCGTTGTAAGATGGAAAATCGAAAAAGTCTCGTTACGTTGGTTGCTAAGGATGCGACTTGATGTTTCTAGCCGTGACACAGGCTGGTTTTCGCGAATTTCCACACGAGGATGTTTTTCTGATAATGATTCGACGGTAGCGTACTTATCTTTTATCTAACAACAGTAGACCACGATATGGACATTATCGATAGTAAATGGCACGAGTAGTTTCTTTCGTCTAGGATTGCAAAAAGCCTGTAACATTCACGATACGATTGTTGTCGATAGTATCGAGAAATGCGTTGTCACGGTGCATGAAAGATATATTACTTGCAAATAAGTAAAACGACAATATGATATACAGAAAATAATACCAAACAACATGTTAATCTAGAAATTTTCGAATGGAACCTGTTTCACGATGTTAAAACTATTCTTCTCGGCGACGTAGTTTCGAGGTGGTAATGGTTAAATTTTTAGGAAAAAACACATGATCATACTCTTACCTAGAAGTGGCTCCTGCTTCTTCTTCGCCGTTCACGCTCGGCAACGAATTTTCCACGAAAAAACGAATTATTGTTTTCTTTTAGATTGAGAATCAGACACACAGTGGACGAGAAGCGACAATCTCGCAAAAAAGTAGAGAAATGCGACTACCGCTTGAAGTTGGTGCAAACAAAGGTCGATATTCAATATGGCCGTCCGTTTCGATTTTTCTAGAGTCGTTACGTGCTTGCTTTTTAGCGGACGTTCCATACGCTTTGTTATTGATCTGATAATTAAATTTTTTTGTTGATGATTAGAATTATAATTTTAAAATAAAAATTGTTTTATCATTGCATTATAATAAGTATAATTACAATATAAAATTTTTCGAAGATTTTTGAATTTTTATAAGAAATAATTCATATTTATATTTATGTTAAATTGAAATAATTTATTGAAATTTTTGATATATGATATATATCATAGAATCTATTTATAAAGAAATTATAAAAACACTTTATAAAAAAAATTAATAGCATATGTTTGTAAAAAAAACTTAAAACGCAATTAACAATATTCAAACTTAAATTTTAAATGAAGTGACTCATAGTAATAAAATTGAAGATAAAACTAATTTTGACGTTGTAAATATTTTATCTTAATATAATATTTTTTAAATTAACATATGTAAAAAAATCAATTTAAAATTTAAATTAATTTGAATTCTTTTTAAATAAAAATTAAATATGAATTCAAGGAAATTTGTTATTAAATAAATTTTATTCATTTAAAAAAAATAGATAAATATTTCTATTGAGAAAGGAGAAAGAAAGAGAAAGAGCACACTCGATCGATAATGAAATAAAATTTAAAAAATGGCGCGAATTTGAAAACTAATGGCGCTACTATCGAACGTTTAATCAGTAACATTATGAGCAACGAGATGGCGCTAGTTGATTGATTGATGCACAGTAGTATGGCAACTTCCGTTTCATCAAGTGTTTTCAAAGAACAGGTGAGCGTTTCGTAGAGTGCGTCGCGGCACTTTGGATAGATCGACTGTGAAGAAGTTCGGTACGAAAAGTTCCGGTGTGTGGTCCAGTGTGTGACTGTGTGTGTGAGAGTGTGTCGTCGAACGCCAATTTGAAAATTTAAAAGATTAATAGTGAAATAGCTAACTGTTCTTAGGAATCTCATTTTTTTCCCAATTTTGTTGCGAACTTGTGTGCAAGGACAATCGAGGTAAAGCTTCCTGCTGGGAATGTTGATGGACTCGCTTCTCGTTCGAGCATCTTGCGAAGAGGTGGGTAAGTTTTGCCGATCTGTTCATCTGATTACGCGGTATAGCCGTGTATACCATCTCCGTAATGGTCGTTTCACAATATCGCTTGAGGTGAATAATTTTTTTGAATTTGAGATTCCTTTAATGTTTATGTTGTTTTTTTCACCTCGAACGATTGGTTTATGATTAGCTCGTTTTTCATTGAGCTCTGTCGCAGAGACAGAAGCGGTACTGGTCAAGTGACATCTGCATCAAGTTGGACGTGTCCACGAATGGCGGTGCGGATATCGATCCTGAAGTCTCCGGTCGCGAGGCCTGTCTTACTTTCGAGGTCATCGGGACTTCGGCCGCAAATCTCACTCTCGATCTCGATATCTTCACCGCGATTCTTTTTTACTCTTTGATTTATATCGATATTATGTCTTCTAAATGTGTTGAACGTATGTTATCGGTACCCCGCCCTTCCATATATCCTATGTAATATGAATGACGACAATGATTACTGACATCCTGTCTTCTCTAACGTGGAAGGAGGGATCGTTTGTAGAGATTAGTAGCAGTAAATGAAAGAATTTTGTATTATAATATGTACGTATATAGTATATATACATATACTATATACGCTTATACGTATATGTTATACGTACTAATACTAGTTTGAAAAAACTTTCATAAAATTTCATAAAATTCCATAATCCATGGTATTATTTTTGTTTTGTTATGGATTTGATATCTAAAATAATAGTTTTACAATTATGAAACTTTTATCTTTAAAGTTTTAAAAGTTATTCCGAAAAGAGTTCTCAAATATTTTTATTATTATTACTATTATGCATTGCGGTAAATGATTATTTTTCAAAAGTATGAAAATTACAAAAATTAAGAAAAAAAAGATAATCAGTCTAGTAACCCCGACAACTAAGAATTTTGACGCATAACTTACATAAGTAGGTGAGGAAATTGCTGAAAGTGTCCTATTTTTAGAGTTGTGGAATGAGCGAGGAGAATGCAGACATTCGATCCAAATCGAACGATATATGTACTTACATGACTACTTACGATCACCTTGACCGTGATGAGCGCAATAATCCTTCCTTTTGTAAATTTAAATCTAATTTTCAAACACAAATGTAAAATTCTTACAAAAAAAATGATTTTTAGATTTTATTTTTTTTTATGCATTATTTATTTTTGCTTTATGATATATTAATCTATTCAATATATTTCGATTAATCGACGTGTTAAATATAATCAATATATTTCGATTATATCAATTTATCAGTATATTTTTTTAGATCGATAAATTGAATTTAAAAAATAGAATGTATGAAGAGATAGAATCGTGAAGAAGTTTATAATTTTTTTTATTATTTATCTATTATTTAACATGTTTCCAGATTGAAACAAATCACTTTTGTTTTACACTTGTTTTACGATAATTTTTTTATTACAATATACATATAATTATATATAATATATAATTTTACAAATAATATAAATATTATAATTTATTGCAATTCTTTTTACAATAAGCAAGTTATATTTTGTTAAAAAACGATTTGTTTTTGGTTTTATTTCAATTTTTATTCCAATAAATATAAATATCATTCGTGATTCATGTGATTTAAAATATTGAGAATTAGAAGAAACTAGTATCGTTTTAGTGACTTAATGAATTCAATTTTCAGTTTGAATTGGTGATAGCTGCATTAGCTGTAGAAATACAAGAAAACAGTTACGTAGTTGACGAAGAATCAGAAAAAATAAATATTTCACAAGAAGTAAGTACGCAATAGTTCCTAACAATTGTATAATATTTTTGTTTGTTTCATAAACATTCTTTTAAGTTATTTCTTTATCATCTTTTCAAATTACATTATCTTAATTATTATTTTAATTATCCTAGTTTATCTATCAAAGCCTCTAATGAAGCTTTATTCTATTCATGGCACAGATATACTATTTAATTTTATTAAAGAAAGATAAACTGAGATATAATGAAACATAATTTATTAGAATGTTAAAGAATATTATAATTATTAAAGTATATAGTAAAAATATTAACTAAATATAGTAATTTACATTGACTTTGCCAATTCTTTTAAAATTTTAATTCTTTAATGTTTTAGTTCTCGTTGTTTTTATTTATTTGACTATTATTGAAAAAAGGGATGGAAAAAGAAATCGAGGCTTATTTCCTGTAGGTAAAACACGAACTTTAAGCTTGAATCTCTAAAAAGTCGGTCACAGGAGGCTAAAGTCGCATTATTTCGCAAGCGATTTAAATCCTGACCTTCATTCATCATTATTAAAGCAATCATTTTTTGAGCAACTTTTGTTATAAAATATAAAATATTTTCTAATTTAAGATTTGCTTGATCAGTATATCCATAGTTTTGAGAGTTGGTAAACATCTCTATATATAAAATCGTTATATATACGTTATTATTTCAAAGTTACACTATGATTAATAGTAAACATTCAAGATAATTGATTGAAATTATCGATTTATTGCAATTTAGTTACTATAAAAGTATATTATCTATAAAAAATATTGCTAGTTCTTTTTATGAATTATAATTTAATATAATATATATATCCATAGTATATTTAGAAAAACCTTTCGTAAAAAATTATATATATCATTTTCTTTTTAAATTTTGATTTTTTTATTGTCAAATATGGTTATAATTGAATCAATAAATGAATCATTTTTTTTTCTTATAATAATAATTTATGATATATTTTATTGATGTATTATAAGCAATTTCGCTTTGATATACATATATATATAAATTTAATCAATGATTGTCAGATTATCAGCCTGATGATGATCGATATGCGATTCTTGGTCATACTATTATATAATTAATTCAAATATTTTGAAGAATTATCGTATATAGAGAATCAAACAGATAAGGTTCTTTTTAAATGATATTGCTATTTTAAAATTAGTAATACTGTAAATAAGATAATACTGAATTAATATATTTTTGCAATTTTTCTTTATTATATAACATTATTAATTAGTTTTTGTTAATTTTTAATATAAAATTAATATAACATAAGAATTTCACCAGAATTAATAAATATTTGTAACAAATATTTTCTGATTTAACGATGTAGTCATAGAGTGAATAACCTTTAGAGGTTTGCGAAAGCTTGTAGATTTTAGTAGAGCGATTCGCGAACCGAAAATACTATGACTCGAAATTTTCAGGCCGTGCTAATTCCGAGCTCCGTGTAAATTTGCGCGAACGGTATTGCGCAAAAATCATAGCACTCATTTGTTTCCACCAATTTTATATTTTTTTCTTTCATTTTCTTAAATAATTAAACAAAACAATTAATTAAAATTTTTTATATTATAATTATTCAGTAAATAAAAAATATTAGATAAAATTGTTGAACCGCTATGAACGTGATAAATTCATAACCTCAAATTTAAAGGACAATGTAACGAAGAAGAAAAATAACACGATTTATATTTTTAATTATTATATATTATTTTAAAAACAATTTAAAAATATGATAATGATTTACATCGACAATAGTATAAATACAAATTCTTGTTATCTTTTAACAGAAGTTACAATCATGTTAGTGCATACTAGATACATACACATTACATTTATATAGGTATATTACGGTGGATGGCCTAAAGGCGGCTTTTCATTTTCATTTCTGTTCCAACTTCATATTTTATTATTATCTAGATTTTCTATTTATAGTTTATAATAATTAGTATCTAACCTATAATTAGTTACTCAATTTTGGACGTTAAAAATTTAAAATTTAAAATATTAGACATATATTAAATTATTAGTTATACATTAAATTTTATACATATAATAAGATTAAGTTTTGGAATTGGAAAAAAAATTGAAATAAAAATTCTATTTCATATTTCTCTCAGTAATACGCAAAAAAATTAAATGTGTATAAATAATCAAAGTTAAATTTAATATAAAAAATGGAAACAAGATTTAGACGAAAGTAGAATGGTTAATAATAGAATAACAGAGTAAACAGATATTTGTATTTAATACATTGTACATTGGACCCCATCATCATCGTTAAAAACGCTCATGATTAACCTAGAGACCTGGTATGAAATTTGTTTTTTTGAACGACATTTTTTTTAATAAAATATGTTTCTCTCACGGTTGTGAGATTCATACTGGGTTCAACGTTGTTCCCTTCGCATTGACCCAATTCCTTTCGCGTACGCGAGACCTGGATATGGGTATTATTATCCCAGCTACAACATTATTCCACTATGATTTCGTTCGATTCAATGACGAATTCATATTATTCTCTTGATTATATCGTCAGGATAATTTCCACATTTTTTTTCAAGAATCATTAAAATAATATTTGCATTATTAAAGATATATAATATTTTTATATAAGTATATATGATTAATTTTTGTTTTGTAATTTGTTTCATATACACCACATCTGTATATATTTATAATATATTTTTAATATATGTGTAAATTCATAATTTGAAATTTTATAATAATTGATAATATTATTTAATATCATTTAACTTTATATTTAATGAAATTGGAAATATAACAGTTTGTATCGATTAATTTTATATAAATTATTAATTACTTTTGAAATATGCATTCATATATATCGTTTCTGGAAAAATTTCAATTAATTTCTCATATAAATATTTTTTGGACTATTTATATTTTTTGATCTGCATTATTCCAGGACCCTAATTTGGCTTGAGCGGACAATCTGGGTTAACTTCAAAATTTTGCATTCCCAGACGTATTGGACTCAATTGCAGAATTAGATCGATCATGTCAGGAATCTGATTTTACTTTGATTATTCTTGAGGATTCTTCCTGGAAATATATTTGTACGTCTTTTATCCTTTCGATCCATCTATTAAAAGTTAAAATGAAGATTAAGATAATCAATTTTTTTTTATTATTTATGAAATAATCTGTTGAATTGTTAAATTTTAATCCCAAAAAAAAAAAAATTATTTGAAAAAAATAAAATTTATAATAGCTTAAAATTATTTACAGAAAAGAAGAAAATATAAAAATCATTTATAAGAATTATAAGAAACTACGATGCCAAAATTAGTTTAGTACGATGCCAATGTTTGTTTGTGATTAAATGGAATAATGGGTAAGGTATATATATATATATATATATATGTGTGTGCAACATATCTGGGCTTTCCTGTAACAGTTTTCCCTGTAAGAGGGTCGGGGACCTCGTGTCCACCTCCCCTTTTGTGCGTGAACCTGCACCAGTTGCGTCGTGAGGTTTGCGTCGACTCAACACCAGTCACGCCTGAATCGTTCTTGAGGTAACATCTGTCTGGAAACGATAAGATCCAAATGTTTTAGTCATGTGAGTCGGGAAATGAGGTGTATTATCGTCTTCTCTGTTGTGTGTACATAACCATATAAAATAGGTGACGCATTTTATTCTGAGGTGCTAGATACTTGTTTGTTGAACTTAAAAAAGTGGAGAGAAAGGGAGAGATGAGCAACGGGGAATACGAAGAGGTTAGCCGAGATTGGTTTTAAATTATTTTTGCGCTAAAATTGTTATTTCCAATTTTAATATTTTACTGTGAATCATTTATAATTTTTTGAATAATGGTGTGTGTGATTGTAAGTTGTGATCTGTTTTTAACTCTAGATGTTTGGAATGAATTTTAAAGAATCTCTGGAAAAAAAAAACGTGGAAGTGACGATTTAAAAAGACATTTATAAGGCTTGAGAGAAAAATAGTGAGGTAATTTCATTGGAATGTAGTTGATTCAAGTTGCGATTCGTTTTTCACGTGGATATAATCGTTTTTGTTACGTGATATTACAATTGATGTTGTATCATTATCTTAATAAGCGTATGTTTCAACGTTAGTTCCATTAGGAAACAATTATCAAAGCGAATTTTTTACTTAATATATATATATATATATATATATGTAAAGTTTAAAAATGTTGAAAAATTCTATATATCTTTTTGTCCTCCACAAGTTCAGAAAGTTTCTTAATATTCAGGGATTAAAAAAAAATCGAAGAAAAATATGTTTCAAGTTTCCAAAATAGTTATCCTTGAAGGCACCTAAATAAATTCGTCATCTTCGTATAATCTTTCTTAAGAAAATTAAAAAGTCTATCGTTATAAATTTTATTTCTAAAAAAAAAAAAAAAAAATAGATCATTAAAAATCTTTGATTCTAAAAAAAAAGAAAAAAATATATACCCACTGGATTCACATAACTCTTCGCGAGCAGTTCGTAACACTTATAAACTGTTCGTCGGTAACTGTAGACTCTTTTGTGAAAAGCAAACAGCATACAATGCATTGACCACCGAATACTGTTCGCGAACAATGTTTAGTGAATTGAAATCGCTAGTAAAATCGCGCTTTTAGAGAATAGGTTTAAACATCAGTTTAAAAATTACAAAAACCAACTTATATAATCGGCAAAAATAACAGCATATTCTTAATTATTCCAGAAGATTCATTATGTAAACGTATGATCTTGTTGTCGTCTAGTTTATCCATAAATCCAATCCATCAATGGCATCCCGACAGTAGATTGAAATTTCTTAACCGCATTAGATACCTTCCAAGTTATATGTATACCTATTTCGGTAGAATACAAGGTCTGTAATTCGCACACACTTTCATCATAATTCGTTGTCGCTTTTGTACTTTACCACTTCAAAGCACACCTGTTGCTTCTTTTTCCAATCTTTTTCGACCATTTGGAAAGATCGATTAAACGACAAAGATCTGTTAAGAGGCATTAGCATTGTGAGCTGTCTACTTACTTAGATTGCTGTTATTGATCAATGTATTCAATTCAGTTCTTTTCATAGATTTAAAATGGAAGTAGGAGAAATATTTTTATTAAACGGTGATGATAAGTGATGATAAGGAGTGTCTATAAATGATCAAATATAGCTATTTTATAATGAAAGAACACGAAGTTACGAAAATTCAGAATATAGTTGTTCATTGTCCATTACCTTGAGATTCGGAAAGAGAAAGCGACACTTCAAAATACCGCTATAAATTACTCTCCTAGGTATTGCGGCATGGGTCAGGAAGAATCGACCGTTCTGCGACTATGGCGCAGAGAATTGCCATTCTTTTTTAATTCTTTGTAGAGTCAATTCTGACGAATGTTTAGATTTATAGTTATGGTATATATAGTACGCGATTCGGGAAATCGAGTGATTCTAATTTCTGCCCGATAAGAAAATTGAATTGTTAAGCTCTTAGTAATGATATATGTTTATTTTTATAATTCATGGAAATGATTTTTAACGATTAAATTAGCTTTTGAAATAACAAATCGCTATATCTATATATATTATATGTTATTATACGTATACTATACATTAATCATAATTTATTAGAATTTACATAAGACTAACAGCGATTAGATATAACCTTGGTTCTATTATATAAATATTTTTTTCATGACGTTATTTTCATGACGTATACTTAGATTCTTTAAAATATTTTTAGTCTTTTTTTTTTTTTTTATTCTAAATTATTTAATTTTAGTAAGATTAGTTTTTATAGTTTCAGCCTAATCGGTAGACGGTAAAAGACACAATGGAAATTACGCCATTTTGAATCTTATCACCAACGTAGGTAAAACGATCCTTATTAAGTCTACTACGCTGTAGTTTAAGTTCTTTGCACTGATAGAATTTCAGTTCCACGATGGAAACCTATATTTTCTCAGAAAACGAATACATGTCCACCATCGATAGAGGATACACAGACGTTTAAATTGTTTGTAAAATGCGGCAGGAAATTCTCTGGGCGTCATTCCAGTATTATCTATTGATTACATGTCTCTTGTATTAAAGAGTACTCTTTGATTCGCATTTAATTTAGCTACGTTAAATAAATATCGTTTGATGCAAGGGAAAAGAAAAATTCGTATTTAACAAGGAAAAAATTTTTATTCACTTGTTTCGAGTATTTAAAATTAAATTGTTAATTAATTAATGAAATAATTTATATATCAATTACTGTCAATTATACATAATATAATTTGATATAACGCGACTAATAATATATAGATATTAATCTATAATATACTTGATAGACGTTAAAAATATTAAAAAAAATTATTTAATCAAGTAATTTAATTAACGCACGTTAATAAATGACACGTGTGTGTATATATATTGAGAATCAACTTGCCGGATTACGTAACACATGGCGTTGCAAAATGAAAGCAACCGGTCAACCGGTTAGCCAAGGCACGCGCTCGTGAGTACGCAAAAATACTTGCTCTTGACAATGATCGAGACCATCGGTGACGATTCTGTATCTTTCGTTCAAAGGAATTGAATCTGAAAAAAATCTAGAGAAAAAAGAGAACGAAGAAATTGGAAACAGGAAAAAACGAGAATTCTCAGATGATTGCGGAAACCGAGTGAAAAAAACACGAAAATTAAAAAAAAAAAAAGAAAAGACGAAGGATGAGAAACGGACATGTGAAATTGGAGGGAACAAAAAAGGAACGTTGGAATGAGATTGAGTACATGTGAGGAGTAGAATAAAAAAAGACAGGAAACTCTCATGTGGGTTAAGATGGTAGTGATGGGTTCGAATCACTCGTGATCATTCGATATTATTTTTGTGACGTTCGAATAGGATGATGGATTGATCGATCAATTTAAAATATATATCTTGATTTTCGGTATTTACCTCTTTTTGCAATATTCTATAATTTACAGAAATTTGTATAATTTCCTAAGGAATCTTATTTATACAAGAAGTTAGGAGAGGAGAGGAGATGACGAGCTATCGCTGAAAGCAGAAGAAAAAGGCAACAGTCTTTTAGAGAGTGGTGGAGGGAGTAATGGCAATGTTCTCTTTTCGTATGACAAGGCTGAATCAGTATCATCGTGGCTATTGCGCGCGAGGCACTATTCTCTTCCTCTCTCATTCTCACTCTTTTATCGCAATTGTACATATGTGTTACGCGCGTGCCATTGTTCATACTTGCTGATCATTTTTTACGTTATCTTCAATATCAGTATGCTGATTGCAAAGCTTTGAGGAAACAATACGTGATCGCCCCCACTTTTATTGGATACTTTTTGTTTAAATAATCAAAGAAAGAAGAATCCAAAGACTATAATGGTATGTGAGAAACATATGTAAAACGTTGTTTTATCAGTTGGTACGTGTAAGTGTTATAAGAAGTGCCAGTTCTTTTAAAGTTGCTCGTTTTTTACTTCCTCTTATTTTAAAAATCTTAAGAAGTTTATCTTATAATTTTACATATCTTCTTTAATAATCTCGTGCGATTAGTTATGCTGCCCGTTTCTCCTTGGTGAGATGATCAAATTATCATCTTCAGCTAAAATATATATATATATATATCTAAAGCTGGCATATTGTTTGACTAAGTTATATCATTGCTGTATTATTTTCTGCCTCAAGTTCTCGAGCATCGCGCGACCATGAAAAAGTAAATTAATAGTAAGGCGGTCTGTTATTCATGTGATTAACATGTGACTCGCCTACATACGTAAATTCATTATAATTCGATCGTTTTAATGTAATCATTATATATATATATATATTTTATTTGTTTCTTTAATGATTTTTTTCTTCTTCAAATTTTTAAAAATAATAATTAGATTATATGTAAGTTCTTTATTAAATGAGACGATTTTAAATATAATTAAAATTTTACGATAATTGAATGTAGCATATATAATTTCAATTTCAACATTTTATAGATATGTCCATGCAAATTTAATTCTGTATTCGATCCATGGGTCACGTTCAATCACTTGACTTTGTTCTTTCTTCGTGTTTTGCATGTGACAAATGTGTTTATGGTGGCTTGGAAGTGCAAATATATATATATATATATATAGTTCTTAGCAGAATTATTAAATAAACGAGATCGTGATCCCTTTTTACAATGGTGTTGTTAAGTTCAGTCGTGTCTTTGAACTTCGAACTGTGCAATTCTACGACTATTATAATGTTAAGTGCATATAATTTTATCCTTAATCGTATTATTAATGGGTTGTGTTTATATCTCATCTGATATGTTATATTAGCGCCATTGGCGTTATTACAAATGTCCATCTATAATTTACGTAATTTAATGCAAGCAATAAATGCAACCTTTTATATCATGTGATGATAAATTGTATCGTTGATAACCCGTGGTTCATAAACACTATTTAAAAGTTCTTCTTGGCTCCATTCAGCGATAATGCTATTATATTATTTGTTTGTCAATGTTCGATACAAGAAATCAGACTTATTGTGAAATTTATAATAATGTTTAGTTGTGAAGAAATATTGAATTTTTGTCCTTGAAATATTAATTATTGATAGTCAACGTCATTCGTAGGACACTTCAACTTTATCATTATTTAATCTTAAGAGAATTTTTTATCTCAAAGTAAATAGTTCCTTCTTTTTTTTTTGTTTTTTTTTTTGTTTTTTTTTTTCAAAAAGTTATTAATCTTGTGTGTATAATTTTTAGGGTTCTGGATATTTAAAGCGTGCAAATACTGAACGCCTCCATGAAATATTTAATCAGGTAAATATATCAATTTGAATTAATCTTTTTTATAATATAATGAGATTTATCAATTTTTTTTAAGATTTATCAAGTTTAATGATTTTTATCAACAAGATAACGTATATTAAGATATGTATTACGATAATAAATTGCTCGATCGATAGATCTGGAAATAAATTTAGTTATTAAAGTTTTTTTTTTTTTTTTTTTTTTTTAAATTACAGTACGCTTCACAAGAGAAAAATGGCGAAAGGTTTATGACCTCGTCTGACTTTGTCCGAACTTACCTTGGACTCTACACCAACCCTGATTACAATCCTGACTCCGTCAATTTGCTGGCTGGTATCGTCGATACCAGTAAAGATGGGTTTGTGTCCAATATTTTTTCCTTCTTTTTAAGTGTCCATGAAAAATAACTGTACAGGTGAATATTTTTTTCCAGACTCATATCATTTGCCGAGTTTCAAGCGTTCGAAGGACTGCTCTGTGTACCAGACGCTTTGTATAAGACAGCTTTCCAGCTGTTCGATACTAATGGAAATGGAATGGTTGCATTTGGTGTGTAGAGATTTTATTTTTTTTTAAATCGATTAGACACAAAGACACGAGAGTTTCCATCTCGTATTCTCACTTTTCAGATGAGTTCGCTGAGGTGATGCGGAAAACGGAACTCCATCGGCGGATGCCCTTCAATATGGATAGCAGTTTCATAAAACTTTATTTTGGAAAGGATAAGCAGCGACTGATAAGCTATGCGGAGTTCAGTCAGTTTTTGCACGTAAGTTTTTCAAATAAGAGAAATTTCTTATTTCTAGAGTGTGTTAGAATATCTTTTATTTATTTATTTATTTTTTTTTTTTAGGATTTCCACGAAGAATACGCGACAGAAGCGTTCAAGAAATTCGACAAGGATGGCCAAGGTTTCATTTCGGCATTAGATTTTCAAGATATCATGCTCAGCATTAAGAGTCATTTATTAACCAAGGATGTAAGAGACAATTTGGTCGCTGTAAGTAATCAATTTAGAACGATAAATTCCTTTATCGATGCTGATAGGAGTGACTAATTACTTTATGGTAATTATAGGCAGCTAGCACCGGACAAGGTGGACGTAGCAAAGTCAGCTTTCCATATTTTATGGCGTTCAATTCCCTCTTGAATAATATGGAGCTCATTAAACGTATTTATCTTAACGCGACGAATGGCCACAGATTCGAAGAAGTTACCAAAGGTATTTGAAGTTCAGCAAACGTTGAAAAACGTTGAAGGGATTTTTTTTAAGTAAAATGGTGACATGATTAATTGTTTCAGAGAGGTTCCTTCATTCCGCACAAATGATGTCGCAGATTACGCCATTGGAGGTAGATATTCTGTTCCAGTTATGCGACCTGCTACATCAAACTGGGTGAGTATCTCCAATCCTGAGAGCGAGCCATCCTCCTTGGCATTGATCGTTTAGAAAAAGGTCACGTGGAATGAACAAAAATGTTATAATTTTCCACGCTGACCTGGTCAACGAAAAGCAGTTATGAATCATTGTACATAATTGATATGCTATCGTTGCACCAGCAAGCAAACATCGTCATCATCCAAAATATGTCGAATGTCTCTTGGCAAAGGAAGGATGAAAATTAAATCTGTTAAGTAAATCATTTTTAAAAATCGCCTTCTATGCCTAATAAAGAAATTACAGTTTCCCATATAATAATTTTCGATCTTTTGCAAACGCCAATTAAAGTTTCCATGATTGAATACATTTGTTTACGTGTTTACGCTGCCTGGATCAGATCTACGGAAGATGACGAGGCAGATTCGCGGCTTGGGTGCGTCTTTGTATTACAAGAATAATCACGTGCTATAAATCCGTTTTTAAAGCATAAACGTTGGCCTCGTGCGAAAATAATGGGAATTCTTTTCAAAAAAACACGGAAACAATGAATTTAGAAACAATTAATTTCAAAAAAAAGTATATTTTTTTCATTTTAACTTAACATATATATATATATTATATATATATATATATATATATTTATATAAGTTATAAATATTCTTCTCTGAATTCCACGTTTGCTGTTTTTTGCACAAAGATAATTCCCATTTTTTTTGCTAATGTATTTGTATGTACATAAATCGATAATATACACATTGTCTTCACCTACTTTCTTTAGCATTTATCTTAGGACGATGGTATTTGTAAACGTTTGCACATTGTGGGCACTAATGATATTCCATTTTATCTGATACTATTGACAAACTTAAGGAACTATGTTTAAGGAACTCTTTTATATTGACAGGATCTACATTTTTATTATTGCTCGAAGCAGTGCCATCGACGTTGTTATTATAATATTCATCCTAGAAACACCTTATTCATTTATTTCTTTTTTCAAATTTCTTTCTTCCTTCTATCCAATTTGTTTTTTCTTAATCTGCTTTATCTTTGCTACGTGGCTACGGATCTACGTATTGAGCACACATTTTCTCGGATTTCAGGAAAATAGTGTACAGCGATCTTGTGGCTCTTACTCCTGAGCAATATTTCAAGCAAATCACGAAACGCTTAGCAGAGATCAAAGCGGTATCGGTAAGTGTGGCCACACAAGAAGATCACTCAAGCCAGTCAAGCTGATACCAGAATTATTACCGGTGGAAACAATTTACATCAATCAAATTATGTCAGTTTTGTTGTTCAATAATCAGTATTTTTGTTTCAGAGTCCTGATGAGCGTGGAGTGATCGTACAGATACTCGAGAGCGGTTATCGGTTCGTTCTAGGGTCCATAGGTGGAGGTAAGTTCAATGATTGATGTTATCTTATTTTTTTTTTTATACAGCCATGAGAAGAATTTTGGAAACTTCCAAACTCGTTAATTTCTTCTAATTTAATAAGCGAAAGTGATTAGGAAAATTGTTTTTTAATTTCTTCAACTATTCAATGAAGAATGGAGTTTTACAATAGTTGGAAATAAGAAAAACTAGATGCAGAATGTTTTCTTTAGCTGTTGGCGCTACAGCCGTATATCCCATTGATTTGGTGAAAACAAGAATGCAGAATCAGAGGACTGGATCGTTGGTTGGGGAGCTAATGTACAGAAACAGCTTTGACTGCTTCCAAAAGGTTGGAATCGAAAAGTCTCGCTACGATACATTGCCTGCATTTTTAATTATGAAGTTGGTGTCCTGCGTTTGACAGGTGATCCGGCACGAAGGTTTTTTTGGCCTTTACCGAGGTTTGTTACCTCAACTGATGGGTGTAGCACCAGAAAAGGCCATTAAGCTGACCGTTAACGATTTTGTCAGAGATAAGTTCATGGATAAAAAAGGAAATTTGCCCCTTTACGGAGAAATTATATCTGGTGCTTGTGTAAGTGATCCGTGAATAATCCCTTGACATTTCATTATAGATGATCTTTATTTATTTTAACTATATAGTAAAATTTCATTTATTTTTCAGGCGGGAGGTTCTCAAGTAATATTTACGAATCCCTTGGAAATTGTGAAAATTCGATTGCAAGTGGCTGGAGAAATAGCAGGCGGGTCTAAAGTTAGAGCTTGGACTGTCGTAAAAGACTTAGGCTTGTTTGGCTTGTACAAAGTGGGTACACGATTAATCTATAATCAAACAAAAACCGTGACATGTTGTAATGCGATGAGAAAATTGGATTTTTTTTATATTTCAGGGTGCTAGAGCATGTTTCTTAAGGGATATTCCTTTCAGTGCAATTTACTTTCCAGTGTATGCTCATACAAAGGCACGATTAGCGGATGAAGGAGGCTATAATAATCCTCTGTCGTTATTAGTATCTGGTGCGATTGCTGGTATTCCTGCAGCAGCGCTGGTCACTCCTGCAGACGTAATAAAGACTAGATTACAAGTATGATTTTTCCATATTAAGTTGTCTTGTTCGTTCATTATTCTTTATGAAGGAAAAAGAAATCATTATGCATTAATTTGATTTTAGGTTATAGCGAGACGAGGTCAAACGACATATACTGGATTACTAGACTGTGCAAAGAAAATTTACAAGGAAGAAGGTGCAAGAGCATTTTGGAAAGGAGCCACAGGTATAAATTCTATTTTGAAATCATGTTAAATTCGGGACAAATTTCGTAGCTATATCGGGTCGTGACATTTATTTTAAGTTCTACTTTGAGAAAGTTAGTAATACATTTTTGATTTGGTCGATCGCATGCGTGGGCGTCGGCCCTACTGCATCTATCGACTATTCTTTCTCCAATATGACTTGGCACCTTAATTCTAAGTGAGTACTTCTTTTTCTCTCTGCCTGCCAGTTATCGTGATTTTTTCCATTTCCCAACCACTCTCTTATTTCTTCGTTTAGTCATTTTTTCTTTTAATCCGTTTGTGTAATTGTCTTTTACTTTTAGGTTTATTGTTTTGTTATGCAGAGTGGTTGTCAGAAAGCATTACATCGCACGGTTTATCTTTAACTTGATTTTTCTTTCATCCTTATTCATTATTTATTAATTTATGATACTAATCACGTTCGTTGTCAATTTTAGTCCAAGGAAGGAGATTTTTCGAGTATTTTCAATGTTCAATCTGAAGATGTGTCTATTCATAGAAGGTCATAACATTCATATTCACTTTTAAGATTTAATTCTTTATTCAGACAAAGAACCAGTGTGTGAAAATTTAATAATTATCAAATGATTTTATTCATAATATTCTTTCATTTTACAGCCCGAGTATTCAGATCATCACCTCAATTCGGCGTCACCCTTTTCACTTACGAACTTCTGCAAAGGCTGTTCGTAGTTGATTTTGGTGGAACGTGAGTATATATTTGTGTATTTATTTATTTACTTTTTTTTTTTTTAATTGATCTTATTCATATTTATTAATTTTTATTTGCTTTCAATGATCATTTATTTATTTCGATTAAATATATATGCAAATTAACAAAACAAAAAATTACTTAAAACTCCTTATTGTTTTGGAGTTTAAGTATATCCTTAGGAAATCAAAATTTTGTTTTATTACCTATATACTCAATTTGATTGTTACAAATTTTTAATAAATCCAAACACATATTAACCAAAAATTTATCGTTATTTATTTTTTTTCGAAATTATTATTAATTTCATATAATTTAAAACGATATTTTTAGACGACCTACGGGATCAGAGCAAAAGGTGCCTGCGATAGGAGTTGCAGAAGAGATTCGATCGACTAACCCGGACCATATAGGAGGCTATCAGATTGCTTTACCGATCTTTACTGGCATCGAAACAAAATTCGGTCTTTGTCTACCCAGGTTCCAAGCAGTAGAAAAAATCAGAAAGTAACGTCATCGTTTCAGCTTCAATTAGATAATGAAGCTTATAGCGACCTACTCATCATTACAGAATTTCGTATTAAATCGCAGAAAATTCAGACTATTTGAGAAAACTGAGTGAAACGAGCTCCACAGAATCATAAACCGAATAAAATGATAATCCGTCGATTGATCGATATGATAAACTGAATCTGGATAAAGAGAAACATCATATAAGACATAGAATCCTTAAGAATAATGACAGTGTTGCAGGATGTTAAACATGACACGAAAGAAAGAAAAACTTGGAAAAAGAACTTGGAAAGATATTCCTTCAAAATGACATATTACATATACGAGAGTAAAAGTAAAGTGTTAGATAGAAATATGGTGAAAATTGCATATTCTATCCGAGATTATTACGTAGATTATTACGTCTAGTTTGTTTAACGAAATTGACGATAAAAAAAGGATAGCGTCAACACGCACAACCTTCTTCGTGATAATCGGTTCACCGAAATCGAGATAGCAATTGTGAGGAAATCACACACAGGGTTTAGACAAGTTAAATACAGACGGTTTAGCCTAAAGACATTATTGAAACGAGTGCAGCCTTTTTACGCTTATGTTATGCAAGTGTGGAGCTCGAATGGATTGGCGATGCGAAGAAGCAGATGAAGTTTATCTTCTTTGTACATTTTCTTTTCTATAATCTTGTATTTTTCACATTTCACCCATTGCACCCGATTAAAAACAGCGAACGAAAATACAAACTGTACGTGGAAGTAACGCTTATCTCTTTTATTATTACTTTGCGTTCGTAGGATTTTCTATGAAAAACGAAGAAAATTGATAACTTATCGAAGAAATATAAACGAAGAAAATGGTGCGAAGGGTGAAATTACATTAAAATATTTAATCCCATCTCGTTTGAAGAGAGAAAGAGAAAGAAAAAGAAAAAGAGAGAACCGGTTCGTGCTTCAAACTTTGCTTTATGCCGCTGTGGTCACCATATTACTTTTTCTACTTTTTATATATGGATCGAAGATATACTCGTTCGTATATGTATTTGTATCGAAGAGTTCACACTATTTTTGTAGTGTTCTACTCAATCAGGGCGGAAATACAGGTTTCATAAGAGGATTTCTGTTTTCCTAAGAATGTTGACAGGTTTCAAAATTGTCTTACCGCTTCTCTCAACCCTTTAGAATCGCTTTTTGAGCTTTTTATGAAGCCCCGGGAGGGCTGTACAACTTATTGATCTCTAATTTACTGATCGACGGCTGTAGAGTTCGCTATGTTCGCTACTATTTTCTACTCTTCTTCTAGTCGCAACTGCCATTCGTTTTCTTATTTCTTTTTCGATCTAACAATGGTATATTAATTTCGTTTGATCGATAATTATTATCTCTATGATATGTGACTTTTAATAACGTGTAGAATTTTGTTCATTCTATCGCACAGCGAGATCAGAGGCTATGCCACATTATACATTTATTTCTTATTTTTTATCGAAAATTAGTGGAAAATATTCAAACATTCTGTATCACATGAGATTCTAAAATTATCAGGAATTACGTTATATTTTGTCCTGTCTCAGACAATACTCTGACTAGAGTTAAGAGTCTTGTATGATACTAGAGAATGTTTTAGAACATGTTTTTCTCGTAAACATTTTCGTCCGCTTATTAAAGTAACTCGGTGTGGCCTCCACGCGTTATCTATGAAAGATAATCGAGTTCTATTTATAAGTAAAGATTTAGTCGAGAGTTCGAGGAATGTTTTAAAATGATAAAAAGGAGGACTGGATCCTTCATCCCTAGTTAATGTTCACGAATCTCGAGCTATTTTATATCACACTCATGGATCGAGAAAACATAGTGAATCCTTAAGACGATCGTTCAAAATATTCGAAGAGCATAATGGTCCAATATTTCTTAAGAAAGGAGAACGAAGAAAAGTTTTTTTTTCATATATCAAGATATACTCGAGTGTATAAAAATTTCTTGATCCTGGTTTGTCGGTGGTATCTTCGATAATTTTGAACGATTGAATCGACCAATATCGTATTGGTTTCTCGTCGAGAGGTCTAAAAGGCCGTGAAACGCTCCCTCCCGCAGTTCGATAATATATTATTAACAATATACGTCGGCTCGTACTTGCTGTAGAGAAAATTAGATCGCTTGGGACAAGTTTTCGATACTTTCGATCGAACATTTCGAAGTGTGCAGGCACAGATTCGCGAAAGTAATAATTGTACCAAGCTTTAAGATCAGCATTAATATTTTTAAAATACTTTTCAAAAGATAATTTTCTATCATTTTGCTCAGAGAACAAATACTTTAAAATGCTTTAGATTTTATAAATTTGCCATTCGTTGCTTATTAAGATCAAGTTATGATCAGCATTCATGTAAGCAACATTGTAGAATTAATTAAAGTTCATTGTTGTTATCGATTGTCAGCGAAATGCGATTCACCAGCATTTTTCACTACCAGCTATTGCGTACTTCTTTTTGTGTGCATGTTGTTGGTCAAGATCTCAGGTTATTGCCTACAAAATTAAAAAAAAAATTTGTCAACAGATCTTGATACAGTATCTTTGTACACCATAATTTTTAAAAATTCTACAAAATTATTTGTAGATAAAAGCAAATATTTTTGTGAAGCATATTTACTTTTCCATCACAACTTTACAGCAGATTAGGACCTATGTCTTCCTCCAAAGTAATTCCATGTAGTTTTGGAATTTAAAATTAATCTAAATTTATTTAATAAAATTTAATCACACGTGTACTTACATCTAACACTTATATCTAATGTAGCATTAACCAAGCTTGATTCAAGAACTTAGATATCTCTTATTAAAAAGAATTTCATTCGTCATATTTTGAATAATATCCTAAAAAATAAAAAAGTAAAAAGTAGTCATAATTATTAAAAGCATCAAAGTATTATCTCATGAGCTGATAAATTGTCAATATTTGGTTCAAATAGTTAATGTATTTTAATAATAAGAAAGCAACAAAAAATCATGGAACGAAGGGAGAAGGGACACGCGCTGTCTTTTAGATTAAAGAAACGTATTTTTTTTGCCCGTTGTGATTAATGAAATCACGTACAAATATAATACTGAAGATCATGTATATATATATATATATATATGTATATATATATATATACAATAAAAAAAAATAAGGAAAAAAAAATGAAAAAAAAAAATGAAAAAAAAAATGAAAAATATGATGTAAAGATATGTTAGGGCAATTGAAAATTGCTTTCTGGCCCGAAATATCAATTTAAATATGATCATAATTTAATGTACATATATGTATGTATATGTCATGCATATGGCATGCACAATTTGCAAATGCGAATACTGGAATATGGAATTCGACTCAATTAATTTAATGCCGATAAAAAGGTTTGCATTCGATAAGAAGATTACAGTCGGTAACAAATTTCCCTGTTAATTGATTGATAACCGATTACCAATCAAGATGGAAAGTTAAGGTAGGTTAACTACCTTGTCGATAAGACGTTTCAAGTGCCAAACATATTTTCGAAGTTGTACTTTTCTTCTTTTTCTTTCTTTTCTTTTTTTTTTTTTTCTTTTTGGCACTTCGAGTTCTTTTTTGCAATTTTATTCAGTTAGTGGTTTGAGTCCAATTGGACTGTCGTAGAAAAGTATTCGCAATGTTTGGGGAATATATAAAATGATAAAAAGTTCAGGAATCCGTCGTGGGCATTTGCAGCTCAATACACTTTAGTTTTTTATATTACCACACCGTCGAACAATTTCTCTTAATATTTCTGCACTAATCTCTAATCATCGTTCTTAGTACGATTTATCTCTTTCTTATTGTTGTCACAATTTTTAATGTTGTTACAAGTATTTGTCGAGTTTAACAAAATAAAATGTTTACAAGTCGTCATATACACACATACGCGCGCATGCGTGTTCACGAGCACGCAACGAACATGATAATCAAGCTTGTGATACGGGAAGAAAAGAACAGGAGAAATCAGACATGCATTATAAAGGAATTGAAAGATTTCTATTTTCCATAAAACTAGTACTCTAAATAACAAGAATAAAGTATTTCATTTTTTGTTCATATTTTATTATTATTATTATTTTTTTTTTTATTATTAATGCAGCATAATCTTTCGGATTCATTTTAAATCCAGGATTTTCCAATCGGCCTAAAACGTGGAGACAATTTGCTTCTTGTTTATGCGGCGTTTCTGAAGATCACCTGTTCTTTCTGTCGGTAATGTTCACGATTTTTCCCAGCAGAGATCGAAGTGGAAGATATCGCCAATAAGGACCATGATATTAAAACTACCCCATAAAAGTAACGAATGTAAATCAACGACAACAATTACTTCTTTGTAAATGAGTGAAGAATAATTTAAAAACTAAGTAAAAAATTAATAAATCAAGAAATAATATATATATATATATATATAGTTGGAAGTTTCGATCTCTGTTCACAGGCTTCGATATTTCGCCTACTCGGTCGGAGACCCAATTACAGATAAAATGACTACGCGATTGCACAAAAAACATATAATACCAGAGAAAAACTAAATAAGCGAATTAGGGTTAAAAGAACTAATTAAATTAAAAAAAGATTATTAAGTATATTATACTCAAGTAAATAAGTAATTAAGCTCGCTTCCATGATCGACCGTCTCATATCCCATATTCGGCGCACAGTCGAATCGTATAATAATAATAAAGGAAAAATAAAAAAGAAAAAAAGGATAAAAATAAAAAAAAATGGTATAAGAGATACTTTAATAAAACGATAATTATACAATGATATAAATATCAAAAATATTATACTAGGTCTTTCTTGTCGTAAATCGAATCGACGTTCTACTGATCTGTGATCATTGTCAGATTCTTGATAAACCGGAAGGCCGATTAGTTAGATGATTTTGAATTCAATTCTTACGAACTATTCTCAGTCGTAATATCTTTGATAACTTAGTTTTATCTTATTGCAAATTGTAAAGATTATATATATATATATATATACATAAAATATATATAATTGTAAATTAAAAAGAAGAAAAAAAAAAAATGGGGAGAAAATACCTGATTGTGAATAATATCTAAGCTGTTGTGCATATATTTTAAAATCAGAATAAATATTATTTAAATGAAACGTCGGTTCAGTGACCCAATTCGCTTATAAGTTTTGGAATCACGACAATAAAATAGATGTAGAAAAAATTTTTTTTATGACTATTATTTATAACATTTAATAAAAATGACATATGGAAAGATAGAAAAATTATGTAGATTATATTATGTATAATTTATAGTCGCAATATTGCCACATTCGGAAAGAATAAAATTGTTGTCGTGATTCTAAATATTCGTATTATTTCAATTTTTGTTATTCATTTACATGAGAATTTTTATCTCAAATCTTCTTACGCAAATTTTTTTTCAAAATCGTAATTATTTGTTGTAATTTACGTACGTTTCACGATAGAAATGTTGAAAAGAATTTTAATGGAATACTAAAGTTAGCTGCTATTTTAAATATCACTTATGTTACATGGTTGTATCCGCTTCTTTACGACGATTCTCGACAACCGCGCGACAGTAACGACCACATAAAACACCGAATTTCTTGTCGTTTAGCCGAATACCGAAATATTTCAGACGTTATATCTTATATTTTATTTCTCTTGTTAAACATGGCTCATTTAATCTTTACAAACACAGTTGAGTTCTCTCGCAAAGAGATATATCAAATTTTCATTACAACAGTTTTCAACAATTCTGCTTGACACATTATTTTTTCGGATCTATACGAATTTTTATTCTTTTTTTTTTTTTTTTTTCCCTATAATATTTTATTCTTCGAATATGAATAGCATATGGTAAACTTTGAAGATTGTTAAAATTGTAACCAAACTGAACATAAGCATAATCGTATAACCTCAATCATCGAGTCTCTTTTCAAACAAGTCTTTTTTAGAGACCTAGTTTTTCTCAAAGGGCAGAATTCTTTTAGATTTTTAATGCCACAGAAGGCCACGAAAGTGGAACTCACTTCGTATGTCTTAATTAATTCTCGATTCTCGATTTCGTGCTATCGTCTCTCAAATTCAATTTGAATCAATTGATCGTACTTACATACGCCTGTCATTAGTAAACGGACATTTATAGAGAAATTTGATCCGCGAGGTAAAAGCATATCGATGCTTAATCGATTGAATCGATACTCGGTTTACGATACAATTGCCGTTTGTTCGATTAGATAAGATACTATTTCTGATCGAGTTTTGTTTATTTAATTTTTTGATTAATAATAATTAATTAGATATGATAACGATATATTAAATTAATCTGACATTTTATTGTAATAATAATTATTTTAATGTGTAAATTTTCTGTGTTTTTTCGAATATTTAAATTTTGTTCATGGATCGCGTGATGTAAATCGTTAAAAAATTTTTATTATTCGATAAAATTATAACGTAAAATTGTTATATAAGAAAAAATTTTGCTTAAAATATTTTTAAAGATATGTGATGATTAAATAACGAAATTTAAATATTTTATCTTATGACAATTTTAACGAAATTTCATGTGTATTTTATATTATACTGAAATGAATAATCGAGACTATTTCATCGATTTTTTTTACGTGATCCATAAATAAAAATTAAATTTTGTTTAAAAAAAAAACATCGAAGAAAGTTTCTTTTTAAAACAAATTTCATCAAAAAATTCTCCATTTATTGTAATGTTTTTAAAAAAAAATTTTCCTCTGTTTTTTGAAAATTAATAAAAATTAATTGAAAATTTATGATTTAATTATAATTTCATTCATTAAAAAATATTTTTATTTTTTACAGTGCAGATCTTTAACTTCTTTGAATCAACGAATGTGCATCTATTTGGCTAATTATCATACGTTTAGATAAAAATTTATTTCAGAAATGTACATCTTCAATGTAACGTGAAACATGTGAACAGATGGAAATAATTTCCTGGATTGTGCCTTCCATATTTTTATAACATATTTTGTCTTGTTCCAATATTCCAATATTTTTTTTATTAATATTAATTTTTATTCTTTTTTGAAATTTTTTTAATTTATCAATATTAATAAATTAATCATTAATGAATTTTGTTGATAAATTTTTTCTCCTAATAAGTTTCTCAAAAAATGGGAAAAGAATATGAAAATTGTTATAATTTCTATTTTTTTTCTGTAGAATTTTTTCATTGTCTTCAATGTACATTGATCCATTGATTTTAGGATCAAAATTTCGATTTATAATCGATTATATCACATAACGATTTGATTTTCATCTACCATGTTGAAGATGCCTAGAGCTATCGTCCTGTAGAGTTACCAACTGTTATTGCACTAGTTGTAACTAGTGGGGAAGCTGTAATTCAAACACAACATACACCAGTCATGAAGATGTTTTGTTAAGGCTTTATGCCATGTTCTATTTCCTGTGTTTCGGGAATTACGCTGTTAAACGTGTCAATTGAAATTTCTCGAGATATTGTTAAATATAATGCTATTTTGAAGATCTATTAATTAATTAATTGAAAATTTACTTACAACTTAGTTATTAATTGAAAATATTTAATAACTAATATTATTATTTATAACCTAAAAAAAAAACAGATATTTTTATGAACTTAAAATCTTAAAATTGAATTTATTGAGTGATCCAATTATCTTTTTCCAAGAGAGTTTTAATTTTTTTATAATTATTAATAATAAAAGTTATTAATAAAAGAAAAACGGCGAAAAGATTAAATAGATTAAAATTATTACGATCCATTATTTTATTTATTTATATATGATATTTGTATATGATATTTAAGTAGAAATATACAATAGGATGTCTAGATAAAATAAGAAAAAAACTGGCTGGAATAAAGTTTTCAGACATTTCATGATATCTCGATCAAGGTTAAACTTCGACAGCTCAGAGGTTATCTTTTTTTTTTCGATTAAACGAAACAATGCGGCAGGCCACAGGTCGTTGCCAATAAATCCAAGAGAATTGTAGAGGAAGCCAGTCGCTCGGATATCCGGGATTTCGTTCTGCTCGAATAAGGGAATATTAAACTTTATTGCGATTTTTGCGTTCATATAATCTACCGCTTTATCTCATCGTTGTGTTTTATTAAACGATAATTCTATACAGTATTACACATGCGTTCGTATTTATATGACAGGTTTCTCTGTTCGAACGAAAAAAATTTGTTTTATTCTCCTTTTTTTTTTGATTCGAAACTTTTCAAATTGTTTCGAAGAGATAAATAGCGATGATATATTTTATCAATTGTATTAAACGAATAAAGTTGAATTCTTTTTTTAATTAGAATAATAATTTTTCATTATAAATTATACAGTTATAAGGTTTTATTACTACATCGATCAAGAAGGTTATGTTGAAATTGTAATCAAAATCAGGATTATATCATTTCGATATGAAAAAAATAATAATTATTAGCAAATTAAAATAAATAAACTAAATATTTTACTCAAATAATTATTTGAATAAGAATTTATTATAATTGAATTGGTTGAAATATTTTTTTTTCAACCAATGAAAGTCAATTCGTGGCTTTTTTCCACGTTATCGATGATTAAACGAAATGAATTGAATTAATTGAAATAGATTGAAAAAAAATATATGGATTGTGAAAAAAAAGCACGCATCTTGTCTTTTATTTACCCGTAAATATTTATACTCTTGCGTTTGTAGTTGCAGTCACGTAACGGTTGCGATGTAAAATGCATAAGAAGCACAGGAATCAAATGAGAAACAGCTTCGTGAAATGACGTACCAAGTTTCCCTTCACATAAAATGCTAGATTCTGAAGATGTTCAAACTATATCTGTGTGCGAAGATTAAGCTTTACTATGTTATATAACTGTTAAAATAAGTGAAGAAGAGGTATAAAAAGAAATCTAAATTATTTAATTTTGGATCTAATATTATGGTTCATATTTAATATAAATCTGATATCTTGATGATGATAAATAATAAATCTGATACGATAATCTAATATGATGAATAATAAATTTTATTATATACTTTTTATTTATATAATAAAACAAATTATTTATTGAAAATATAATGTTTTAAGTTTTTTCTTTTCAATAATCTTTAAAAATTTAATTCAATTATAATAAATTGAATTTTATTTTCAGACATAAATATAGAATTTAGTAGAATTAAATTAGAATTTTATTTATATAAATATTTCATACCTTTCATCATATTAATTTAATTGCGAATTAAAATTGCGAATTTTTTAATCGAGAATTAAATTTTTGTTTCAGATCTAATTTTTTTTATCGCCTCGTTTTTTTATTTTCAATTTCATAGCAAAATATATATTCAAAATATATGTATAGGAGAGACTTTATTAAATATTCCATGGATATTATTATTTATTATTTTACAATTGTATTTACATTTTACATGATAAAATTCGTAATATAATTATTATTATATTATAGTAAAACGCGTCATATTGTCGAATATTTTCACTATAATAAATTTTGTTTTATGTAGCTTTGTCTTATGTACTCGCCAGCGAAATAATCGAATTTCAACTTAACGAGATAGGCATATTGAACATGAATATGCAACAGTTAGCCACATGGAATGATGCTACATTTTACTATACAAATAAATAAATATACGTATATATACATAATATATCCTTATATAGCATATAAATACTATAATTTAAATATTTTTACACAAATTTGGTTTTTATAATCACGGATTATTTTTCAGAAACTAGAACAACAACAAATCAAATTGGATAGACGATAAAAAATATGTGAACTTTGTTTTTTTACTTCGTCAGCTTTTACTTAAACAGCTGACAATTAATTGCACCGGGTTCCCAGATAATTATTGGTTCCTGCAGCTGAAAATGAAAGAATATGAATTTATTACAGGATTACAAAGTTTATTGCATTGCATATAGAGAAGTTATTTGTTTGTTTTTTCTTTTTAAAAATGATAATTTATTCTTTTTTTTTTTTTTGATACTCACAACAAAGGCCTCTGTATCGACTTGAAAAAGTCATCCCGTAATTGCTACTGGCAGGTTGGCCTCGCTCATATGGTAAATGACCATTTACGTTGTCTCTACAATGCAAGAATATAATTTGAACGCGAAAAACAAAATGATTTTAAGTCGTTAAAATCTATTAAAATTATTAAAAAATATTTGAAGATATTTAGTAATATTTAGTATATTTAGTATATAAATTGTTTAGGGATATTGTTAGAGTTACCAGACTAACTTTTTATTAGAGACATAAGAGAATGAGAAGTTGATTGAAAAGTTACTAGAAATATTCAACATTATTTAAATATAATTATTAGAATAACTAGATAGTGAGAAAATAATAAGTATTAAGAATTAAAAAGAATTTTAGGGATTTTTAGGTTATAAAGTTAACAGTGTTATTAGAAAAAAAATTTATGTAGAACTATAAATTTACAAGAGAAAACATAGTTATAAACATTTGTAGAAAAGTTGTAGAGAATTATGAAATTAAATCTACATGAAATTATAAAGTTTTAGAGTTTTACAAAATTGAAACTCCATAAATTGAGACAATTTGAGACAGTTTCTAGAAAAAAAAATATATTTACATTTCTTTTTTTCTATTTCTATTTCGATAAATTATCATATTTTTTTACATTCTTAATCTGTACAACTTGTTACTGTCTTTCTTTTCAATTCTTTTTAAATATTAGATAATTAGAAAAATAGAAATAAACTCTATTGCTTACAATTTGGTTTGATAAAATTTGAAAGAATCAATCGAGGATTTAAAGAATTGTAAAGAAGTTTTTCTAAAAATTCAATTGGCACACAAGTTTGCGAAAATTGTGGGTTCCAATTGGCCTGCTTAGAGTGAAAAAAAGATGGCATACAGGCGTATTCAATTTGTTGGCGGTAATAAGTTGGCGATCGACAGGAAATATACGTGAAGCAACAAAATTTATGGTTGGATTCAATACGCGTCGCGTTTCATATGAAAGCCTACGATCTCTTTTATAAGAAATATCGAGGCCATCAGATTTTCCATTTCCTTCCATCTTCTGAGATCGATTAAAAATTAATTTCGACCAATGAAAATACCAAAAATCGATTAATTAACTATAATAATTTCGAAAAATCTTTTTGCAGAAAATTCGACATAGATTTGAATGTAGAGAAGAATATGGAAGAATTGACTGAAAATGAAGATCAAATTCTCACCCGGGTGCATAATTGCATACGTAGTTTTTGATATATCCATGGGCCGGATCATAATAATAAGTGTAGCCACAGCCTATTAAATAACTATTAGACGAGAATATCTGAAATAAAAATCTGATTTATATTTCTTTGCATTTGTTTCAAGAAAGGATAACATTGGTACAGAAAAATATTTCATAACAGAGTCATTTTAAATAATATCAAAAAAATTATTTTGCAGTCATCATTTTTTTTTAAGTTGAATATTCAGTTGATTTTTCAATTTTTTCAATTGTTATACCGAACAATTATTTTCCCTTTATATTACAGATAAAAGTGATTCTTGATTAAAGATAAGAATCTCGCATTACATCAATTTTTATAGAATAAAATCAAATTAGTTTTTATTATTAGTTTTACAATATAAATTATGCAATTGTGTAAAATAATTCTAAAAAAAGAAAGGTATTTTAAGTCCTAAAGATAAAAAAGAAGTTCAATTAAAAACAAAAGTATGAAAAGTAGAGATTAATTTTTCGTATTATTTTAATCGAAACTTTCAATATGATGACCATAAAATGTATGATTTCTTTTTTAAAGGATAGAAAACATATCTAAAAAGAACTATCAACCTGATTGTAATGGCTAATACCGCTCTTATATTGCGCTTCGTTGAACCAGTTGTAGATCGTCTGACGCCAATTCGGTACGTCGTTGAATTGCGTCGATGAAATTGTCTTAAGTATATTTTGTTCCACATAGAACCTGCCTGTATACATCGATCATCGTTAATCGTGATCTATAATCTTTTTCTCTCGAGAGAGCAATCGATATGTATATATATATACTATTCTTGGATTTAATTAATGCTACTCAGGCATCATAAGTGAACAGAGCCATCTATATATATATTCTTGAACACATTTTCTATAGTAAAAGACTCCTATTTAAAATTTTTAACATTGTTCAAATTTTCATACGAGAAATATCATTTTAGAAATATATATTTTTTATAAGTATAGGATGTAAATCGATAGTGAATATATTAAATAACGATTGAATAGAGAACATTTATACTTTTACACGTTTGAATATTAGATGTTCCATAAGAAGACACAGAAGAGAGAAAAAAAATTGGATCTGTCATGGGACATATACTAACATAGATAACTTATATGGCAGTTTTCCTTTACCTACCACCAGAGGGATGCACATAGAAAATACTTCTCGAAAGTAACTCGCGTAACTATGAGTATATAGGGAATATCACTTTTTTTATAAACATTTTTTGACCGGATTTTCGATGTTTTCTCGCATTTCCAATTTTTTGAAAATATTTCTTTTTACCAATATACCAATAAAAATTATTAGTCTTTCAATTTTATTTTATTAAAACTCTTATTTCATATTATATTTTCTTCGCGCAATGATGTATTTATTAAAATCAAAATAATTTTGTATCATGGTTCCACCAGTCAAAATAACTAATATTTGTTAAATTCAACAGTCAAATTTCTCAATGATTATAATTTTTAAAATAATTATTACGAATTTACTCACGAATATGTCTGAAAGGATCGTGGATTTCAGCACATTTACTTGCCCACTTTTGCGCCATGTCAGCAAGTTCATCGTCCCATATCTGAAAAAAGAATTATTGATTTTACTTTCGAAGATAAATTTGTATAAAAATTATTACACGAAATGGTCACAAATTAAAAGTTATGTTAAATTTTTTTTTTTTTTTTTCAATAAATATTGAGAAGATTGAGCGAAAGTTATCTCTTACCAGCTCTCTCATATTGGCAGCAATAGGCATTCCTTGGATCTTTCCAAAAGTTATTTTTTGTCTAAGATTATTATGCTCGTCTAAAATTAGCTGTTTATCTTGACAGGATAGTTGGTCAGATTCTATAAATAAATCCATTACATGATATCAACAAGATTTAATTCTTTATATTCGGAATTTTTTTATTTCTGAGAAATAAATTTTCCAACTGAAATTATTTTCGTTTCCGAAAAAAGTCAAGATGTCGAAAAGTATAATAACGATATGATATAACGTTGAAATGACACGACGAAGATAGACGAAGAATCGAAGAGTTCAGAATGTTTTTGAATGTCTCTGTAGGAACAAGTACTAACTAAATTTCAAACTCGATTGTTCTGAACATCAGTTAAGTTTAAGATTAACAAGCCTTTAGGGCACATTAAGGATGATCTAATGCAGAATCTTCAGATAATAATATATATATATATATATCCCTTTCAATACTTTTTTTACATAAACGTCAACGTCAATTCACGAAACTTTAATACTCGTTAAAATTTGTCGCCATCTTTCTTTCTTTCTTTCCTTCTCTTTTCTTTCGTTCGTTTCCTTAGTCACCACGATTGGCCAACTTGACAAAAACTTTCTCTAAAGGAATCTGCTTTAACGACGTTTCCCTCTGTCTTTCCTGCGGGCAACTTTCGTCCCTCCATATTCCTCTCCTTAATAACTTTTAGCTCCTCGACGAGAGGAGCGAAGAATGCAAATTTCTGTCTCTGGATGAGACGTGGAATTGGCAATCGAATTTTCCCTCAAAATCTTAGGGATATTTTTACCAACTTCCACTACCGTGTACCGATTAACTTAAAGAAACTCAATCCTTGATATTGGATATCGCATTGAACATTGGACGTCGAATATCGTCGAATTTAATTAAAGGCCAATGAAATTTTCAATACTTGGAAAATTTTAATTTGAAATTTACACACGATTTTGTGAAATTCCTCCGATGAAAAATTATTATTATTTTCGTTCGTACGTGAAATGAGAGTTCGGACAAAGAGAACCGTTTTGAATAACAATTCGACCGACATCTTGGTGTCAGTGTAGGATGCGTGCACACGCGCGCGCACGGATTTCCCGTAATTAAGTAGCAACTGCTTTAATTCGTGAATGTAATCGAATTTCGTGGTTGCTCGCACCGGTGAATACGCTATTTTTACCGTCGAATCGATGCACAGTCGTATTGAAATGTAATAGATTTCAATTTTCTCCCCGTAAATAATATACGAGGTGAATTATTCATGAAGCTAGGCCGGCACACAGCTGGACGAAAGCGGAGCAATAAAGTTCTGCTTCTTCTTGCTCCTCTCTTCTTTTCTTCTCCACGTTTATTATTTTATCCCTTGTCTTTCTAATTACATCGAATTTATTCGGCGATATTAATCCCGGTATAAATGTATCGGAAGTCGAGGAGAAAAAACTTTTTTCCCACTACAAATCTGTTTTGTTTTTTTTTTTTTCTATCTCGAAACAATACAATCATCTCTTTTAAATCACATCACGACGAGAAATATATAAACGAGAATAATTAATTTTCCAATTAATTATACATCTTTCGCAATTATTTGCTTAATCACGTCGAATTTATTTTATCATCATCCGATAAGAAATCGTATCGTTGCAAATCAATCCGAGTTTTCTTCACGATCCATTATTTCTTTTCTTTTTTTTTTCTTCTCTCTCTCTTAAATAATTCTTTTCAGTCTTTCGAAATAAACGATATGAAACGTATAAAATAATAAATCTTTTTTAAACCGAGGGTATTAAATTCTATATCAACTCAGCGATCTTTGCTCGATATTTGAATTTTTTTTCAGCCGATATATTTGAATTTATATCGCGAAAATACTCGACCAATTTCGTCTCTTAAACAGAACGCGAGAGTTATCATCACTCCTCCCCTCCCCTCCGTGGTTTCGTCGTAACGACGGCGGAATTATTCAAATTCTGAATCGCGCCACGTTTCCACGTGTACAACCCGACATCAGGTTACCGCGGAAATTAAAATAATTTTCTTTGTTTCCAATTTCCCACGTTCCCCCTCGTTGCTGGGAAAACTGAAATTACCGCAAACGCGCGACGCGAAACGGTTTAATTTTATTCCCAGGTTATTTTTTTTTTTACGAAATCTAGGGAAAAACTGTAAATTGACAATCAAATTCAAATTTTATACGAGAATTTATCGGAATCGATATCAATTTTTCAATTTTTACAATCTTACAACAAATTGAATTGATTTTAAAAATTTTTTTCCTTCCCTTCGTAATCCACCATTTCTGTCTCGTTTTGTGTTTTTTTTTTTTTATTAAAATCAATAAAGAAAGAGATTCGGCTATTATTATTATTACCGTGAAATTAGCCGAATGAAAAGTAAAGCGAATCGGTTGGCAACACTGGGCTGGTTCTTTTTGCAACGAATGAAATGAGGAAGGCTTGGCCGGTACGTAGCGATTCAGCCGACACCTGCTAACTCTATTCTCTTGTCGTAGCACTTGGTTAAATGGATTTCGCCGGGAATGGACTTGCCAGCTTGTTAAATAAATAGTCCTTGGCTGCTGACCTCCATTCAAAGTTTCCCCCCCCCCTCCCCCCAAGTTTATTTCTATTCCACGGAGAGCATCTTTCTCGATCATTCCACCACCTCGATCGATAAATTCTATCCTTCTCCTATTTTATCTCCCTTCTCTAGAGATTTTTCCCCTCCATTTTACGATATACGTGTATATATATATATATAAATTAATGAAAAATAAATTATTCCTTTTTTTTCTCTCTTAACAACCTGTTTGCTCTGTTCAAATCCTTCTCTTCTTTTTCGTTAAATCTTTTCCCCTAGACGACCGCCCCCCGGACAATGACAAATTCCCTAGACACGTTTCCACCATTAATCAACTATTTCCCTAGAAGAATCCATACGAACAATTTACTCGCTCTCCTTAGTCATTTTCTCCTACTTTTTTTCCATTAGAAATTTCTCTAATTATTCTTTCACGTTTCTCTCCAAGTTTCTTTCCAAGATAAATTTCCCAAGAATGGAAAACCGTTTTTTCCGCCTCGTTCCTTTCTTCCAAATCGAAATCGAACATCCGTTTTTTAATCGAGACTCGATTCAAGACTCGAGGATAGGTGTGGGAAATTTCCCAGGTCGAGGCGGAAAATGTGGTGGAAAGGAAATCAGGGCACGGCTCGTCGGAGGAGTCGCCCGTCACATCTCGGACGTAAAATTTCGTATTCGGTCCGCACCGTTTCTCCCTTCCACACCCCCCTCCCCCCCAATAGGAATATTCACCGAGATACGCGATCGTTGAATGAACTTGACTAATTGCCGCTTCGAAGAAACTGTTATTCAACGGGAAGGGAAGGGAGGGCGAGCGTTGGAACGAACGAAACCGCTTTTTTTCTCACCCTCGATAATTGGAGGATCCGTGCATTGATAAATAAACAATTCGAACGAGAGGGATAAAAAGTTGAAAGGAGAGAAAAAGAAAGAGAAGGGTTATTTCGAAAATGAACGTTCGGATAACGGATACGTGTACATTTTATCATTGAAATTAATTTGAGATAAGGGATTATTGCAAACGATTCAAAGATATAGGAAATTGTAACACGTTTCTTTTTATAGATCTCATTGTTTCCATCCCATTGTAATGCGAAATATTTAGTGTACAAGTTTTGATTACACACCGCGTCATAATAATTTTCATTGGCCTGTAATTTTATCGCGAAAAAGATGCGTATATATCTTTACGACGATCGTGTTTAAACATTGAAATTATTTTTCTTTTTTCTTTTCCTTTTTAACAATTCCATCACGTCATAGATTTCGTTCATTCGCAATAAAGATAACCCATTCGGCCGATCAATTACATCAACGCGATTTTCGTTCGATTTTACGATCCGATCTAACCTAGAGAAAGGATTATTTCTCCAAGTTTAAACGCGCGATCGTGACTGGTCGTTCGTTCTTATCTATCTTGTTGTTGCGTAGAAGGAAGACGAAGGAGTTGGAAGAGAGATTATTCGAATTGTAAATCGAATCGAGCCAGACGAATTAAACGGTGACAAAAGCAATCAATTTTCATGCACGCCGAATGCAAAATGCTAAACGATCTTCTTTTTAAACGGACAGCGAGAAAATTCTTCGAATCGTTTCAAAAGGCTTCTTGGGATTTATTCTCTGGCGAAGAACGAGGACGAAGATTGTTCGGAAGAAGATTGCAATTTTTTTCCCTCCATGTTGGCGACTCTTATTCTCTTTTCTTTATCTCGAAATTCTTCCAATTTGTTATTGTAATTGTACGAATTCGGGTCGCACGATGCTTCTAAAATTTTCTAATTTTCTTTTTTTTCAAATTTTTGAATTTTTATAATTTTCCCCGAATTGTCAGTCGACAATACATTTTTTAAATAATTGATTTCCTAATTTTGCTCATTTTCTTAATCTTATTCTAATTTCGATCGTTAGGAATCATCGATATTATCGAAAATATAACTTATACACAAATTGGCTACCGTGATTACAATTCGTTCGAATTATAGAATCTTTATTGGCATTACTCACTCAGCAAAACCTTGCCAACGCAGGAAATAATATCCGCCGAAGCGGTTGAAACGAAGATGAAAATCAATGCCAGTAGTCGAGTCATTCCCTCCCGCGCCATTTTCTCGATTTTTCTCGCGACGAATGGATTTTTCTTGCTCGAAAAATCTTTTTCACATAGGAGAAAGATTATTGTGGATCGGTCGATAAAACAGATCGATTCGCAAGTGAGAACCCGTCGTAGGAATCGGACGAACTGACAGGCGAGCAGGGTCGAGCGTTGGCCTTTATATTCTCCATCTGTCCCATAATTTGGAACGTGTAATTGTTCGTGCTACCAGTTCCCCCTGGTGGGGATTCACTGGTTGCATGGAATCAGGGTTTCAAAGTCACCGAGGGAGAATTTTTTGTCGTCAAGATGGTATCCTAGTGAATTTGTTTATGGGAATTAGATCTAGATATTTTCCCCCATAAGATATCTGGTAACTTTAGATATAATTTCTTAAATTAATCGAGTTTGTTGACGAGTAATTTCACGTTTCAGATTTAATTTCAAACAATATTTTGATTATAATTTGGTAATTAATTTTGTAGAGTATACAATCGATAAATATTTTTGATAATTTTTATACGTTATGTTAATACGATCAGTTAAGCGATTTTTTAGAATAGGTTTGTTAAAAAATGTGTATAATTATTAAGGTAAGTTAATGCTAGGTTCGGGACATTAAGTAAGTGATATTAACTTTGAGTTTGAATCCAATTGATGTTAAATTTGAGTCGGAAATTCGATTGCGTTGAAGTTAAGTTTTAGTTTTATTAAATCAAGATTCGATTTACGTTTCTATTAAGTTCGAGTTAAGCTAAGATTACGTGTATTCATGTTAGATCTCAGTCAAGGTTTCATTCGATCCGGATTAAACTTGAGTTAATTAAAGGTTTGAGTTACGTCGGCCAAGGGTCAACCTGATGTTTTTAGGTTAGGTTTAGATTAAAAGATGAAAGCCCTTTGAAGTTTCCACGTTTAATCTTCGATCACTCGCCACGAGAACTCTTATTTTTGTGGAAAATATTCAATTATGAGGCATCCATGTTTAATCTGTAAGAGTTAAAAAGACAACGCAACGTTTCGAATAAATTTTCGACGTCATCAAAATTCCCTAGTTGAAAGCTCGTACATGGAAATTCCCCATACATTTCCTACCAACTTTCCTTGCTTGTTGGCTTTTTAACAAATTAGAACGTCACCTCGTGGAGTGCATATCTCGATAATTAATGTGCTAGTAGTGTATTACAAGATTAATAACACTTTCCACAAATGCGGATAATATTCCAACTAGTTAAGACGGAGAAGTTCCACGTTTCTCGAGAGATGCTGTATCTCCTTACAAAAGGTGCGATTATTTCGAATCTACTAATTGTACGTGATTAAACTTTCTCAGAACATTTGTTCTGTTAATGTGTCTACCGAAATGCGAAATTCTTTTTAATTTTAACTAACGATCTGCAAAAAAAAAAAAAATACGAATTGCTAAAAAACTAAATTTGATCAAGAAAAATTTTAAGAAAAAATCGATTTCATAAACTTTTGTATAATAATTTACAGCAAATAATAATGTTTTCGCGAGGTATAAAAATAATTTTGCAATTTACATAAGGGTTAAAAAAATACAGGAAAAAAAATAAAAAAAGGATTAAAATCTTTGTAAAACGATGCTCGAACAATTATTTTCACGTATAAATCGGATCACCTTTCGTGAAATTTTAACGACACATATCGATTTTCGATTATCGGTTTCCCGTTGAGATGATTAGATAATTAATTATTGGCCTAACAGTTAATTGGAAAGTGCGTAAATATTTCGACAACGTTTGAAACGATTTTAAACATCGATTAAATGCCGATGTTCCTAAAACAGCAGTAGCATTTTCAAAGATGTATCGATCGATTTGGTGACCGACACATCAGATCAGCCAAACTCCAAAATCTCGAATAAATTATTAACTATTAACTTAAATCCAATCGAATCCACGATTTATTTCAGGACAAGCTCGAAGTTTCCTCTCATCCTTCTTAAAAGAATTACACGAAATACAGAAATTTTTATTTAATTCCACACGAACGAATCTCGATCTTCTTTTCCAGAGAGTCTGGAATATTTCTCTAACCTCGAACAATTCTTTATTAATTTCGAATTTTTCGAAATCGGATTGAAATAAAATCTTTTCGTCTATGATGAAAAACGACAAGAAAAAGGAAAAAGATAAAACGGAAGATTATGATTAAGACGAACACAGCGTGACACGATGGTTTGCGGGGAAAAAGGAAGGAAAAGAAAAGAAAAGAAATAGTCGAGAGAAACAAGACACGTTTTAAACGCTGAACGTGAGGCAGCCCGAGCAGTTTGTTAAACCGAAAGTTAGCCCGAAATGATTTATCTGTTGGCGAACGTGCGAAAAGCGACGCTGCTCGCGAATGCACGCCGCGGCGGAGCCGCGTGCACTTTGGAATGCAAATTCCTCCGCCACTTTGCGCCCCACCGTGGAGAAAATTTTCTCCACGCTGCAAACGTGCCCTGCGTTTCGCCTTGTCTACTTCGATTTATTTCCCGCCGATCCTGCTTCTTGCCCCTCCATCCAGTTCACAGTATATAACTGCGAACAATTTCATTTTCTTCCTCGAGTTTTTTCACTTCCACGCTTTCTTTTTTTTTTTTGGAAGTTTCGCTTTATTTCCAATTTTTCCAAAGAGATCTTTTAGAAAGAGGAGTTTTAAGAAACGCATTGACTCGATATATATATATTTATGTATCTTTCTTAAATTTTGTTTCAAATTAACGAGACAGTGATTTATTATCATTATAGATTTATTTGTTTATTATGGTCGAGCGATTTTAAATTAATTTTTTTATTTTCACGAAACTCGGAAGTGAATGCATTTGTATAAATTTGCATTATCGACTGAGTACGCACGAGTATAATATTCTGACGATAGATAATACGTGGATAATTTAACGAACGTCTAGTTGAATTAGAGTTTTCGTTTGTGATAAAATTTTTAAACTTCTTCTTTTTGTTCTTTCTTTTTTTTTTTCTTACGTTCATCGTTAATTAACAACTTGATTCCTTCCCGATCAACAATATTGCCAATATCAATGAGGATCTGAGATAAAACTACATCACGACGAAGATTATATTATATTTTGCAATATCATTGCCAATAATATCGATGACACGGCCTCCTCAAAGAAACAAGAAATGAAAGATGGGGCACATGGAGTCATGGAGTCTCGTTAGTTCCAATGAAATGAAAAATAAATATTCCTTTATCCATCGAAACAAACAAACAAGAAGTATCCGCTAATGGAAATATCTCTCGATCTTTCGTTTCAACCTTCTCTTCGATCTTCCTAACTTTCCTCATGATCGTTAAACTCCTTGTTAAACCGAAACTTTTCGCCCATAATTTATTACAATCCCGTGCCGTGTCAAACATTTTTCGCGAGTTTCATTCCAATAAAAGGTACCAAACTCTTTTTTAACCGATTTTTCCCTTCCACCACCGAGCTCCCCACCAAGCCTCGAAAACGAAACGAAACGAGAAATTGGGGGAAGGAATCATCAACTGGTCGGCAGGTATCGCAATCGGGTTATCGATCAGATATTCTAAAAATATCCGATAGTTAAATGCGGTTTTACGTGTTATAACGAGTTTTCGCGGACCACTTGTCCTTGTTCCAATCAAAAAGAAGTCGTGTCTTGCCCGATGGGGACGATCAAAGGGAGGAAAGCTGATCCAAACGAATCACTCGACTTCCCTCTCTTCGAACAAGTGTCCCGACCGATTTTTCTTAATTGCATCCCCGCCAATTCCGTTCTTTTTTAATTCCTCCTTCTTCTCTCCTCGCGCGTGCTCTTTTATCGAATTTTATTTTTCTTGTCCTCGAGTTTCATGACGAGCTGTGAGTTTTATGTTATGAAAAAAATGGAGATTAAACGTTAAAAGTTACTGTGTCGCCATATCACTTTACAATAGCACAAAATTCCGTGTAGATACAACCGATCACGCATTATTGTAGCAGCAGAAAAATATTTTGTTTAATATCCAATTAGGTAAAAATCTCTTTCTATATTAAGATACAAATGTTTCTTTGCAGCGGTTATTATTTGCAGCGCTCATGGTAGGAATAGGTAAGTTTAGTGTTAACAAAGAAATAGCGGAAATAAAAATGATGTTTCAATTTGAGTCAAGGAAAGAGCGCGTTCAAGTTTGAATTTATCGCCGGAAAAATATTAAATTATTCGAGAAATGCTGAAACGTGATCCAGCACGTTTCTTCTCTTTTCGAACAATTTCGATTCGCACTTTTTGAATTCGTGATTTCGAAGAAAAAGCGTAACGTAGTAAAGCTGATACAAAAAATGTTTTCGAATATTGTTCGAGCAGGGTGTCTTTTTTATTAAATTCTAGGCTTCGTTATTAAAGCAGCAAACAAATGAAATTGGATCGAAATAATCGGATATAATAAACGTTGAAAATTTTACGTAACGAAGAAATTTTATTTGCCAACGATTTTGTATTAGTCGACGAGAGATGGCATTTCGAGTTGAAAAATTTTTGATCAAAATTTCGAATGTAATGGCGCAAGAAATTCTAAATTCCGAGAAAATTTTTCATCAAAATTTCCATTCAGAGGAATACGATTTGAAAGAGAGCGAAAATTTTCAGGAATTCAACATGCTTTTATTATATTCTCTTTTATATTCAAGAATAAAATTCTTGTTACGAAATTTGCAATATTTATCCGTTTCATATCCCTTTTCACCAGTGTATCGAAAAATTCTCATTTCCCGAAGTTAATGAACAATATCATGTCCATCCACCTCGTATGGGATTTAACAGATCGGTTTTCACAGTGTGAAGCGAGAAATTGATCTCACTCTTCTACTCAAAAATAAATTTCTACGATTTTTACACGTTTTACATCGTTTTCTTTTATTCTCGTTCTTCACTCTGTTCACATTATTTTCTTTTTTGCTACTACGAATTTACCAACGATGTTACCATTTTGATTTCTTTTTTTTTAACAAACAAACAAGCAACAAAAATTTCACAACAACGATTTTAAACCAATCTTACAGGCTATCAGTTCTCTAAATATTATTATTTCCAAATTGTTTCAACGTCTTCGAACAAAAATGAAGAAACATTATATTATTCCTGTTTAAAAGTACAAAAAAAAAAAAAAATAAAACTTTCCAATAATTTTCAATAATTTTTAATCTTTTAAGAATTTAATCTTTTTAAGGAGGATCTTAAACTTTACCTTAATAAAAAAAAAAATGTATAACAGTAATTATGAATATCCATCTTGGGACATTATCATTGACATTAGCCTCGAATGGACGTTAAACCAACGTCCTAATTTCAGCTCATCAAAAGTTCGTTAATTAGGAGGCACGTTAATTGGA